AGGGAGGGAGGGAGGGGGAGGGAGGGAGGGAGGGAGGGAAGGAAGGAAGGAAAAAAAAATTAAGTGTACAGCTGTAGTGGGCATCCAGAAAATTGGAAGACTTATAATCTAACAATGGTAGTATCAGCTTCTCACTTCTGCTGTATTCTATTCATTAGAAGCAAATCACCATATCTAAGCCACACTCAAGAAGGAGACATATTATACAAGTATGAATATCCAGAAGTGGTGAATAATTTTCAGCTATTTTTCCAAACTACCAAGAAATGTTCATTTGAAAAAACATTCACCTTCATTCAACTTTATATGTTGTCCGCCTCAATCATAGAATCTATTCTCATATTTACCTTCCTGCCACCATGGATTAGCTTACTACTTGAACCCTTTGTGCATGTCCTACCTGTCAATAAACTTCCCCAGATATATTATATTTTTTCTCTACTCTAGTTATTGGCCTGATAGAAGGTCAATGGTGATAGATAAACCTCTGCAATATCTTTCAATAAGGCAGGAGCACTAGCTTTTACCAGGGAGAAGTGATCTACTCATTCGACACAAGTAATACAGGAAATGTGGAGATTCAAAATGATCAAATGCATCAACTCAGATGCACCCATTCCATTATGAGTCCTGCTTTCTCTCAGTCACAGCCATGAACTTGGCAAAAGAGACTAGTGAAGCTTCCCTAAAGGTACTATTAAAATTAAGTCCTGGGCCTTAGTTCAGTTATCTGCCTTCCACTTGTGGGAGATGAGAATCTCTTTATAGGCACCTCTCTGTATGCACCCTCTAGATTTCACAATGCACTTTACATTCATAGTCAATCACCATCAGTCTTCCATTATCTTTCTTTGATGCATTGATGGTCCCTTATAATACCCATTGACTTCCAAAGTTTTTTAAATAATTATTTTTCTTGAACCTTCAAAATCCTGAGGTCTTATATAGGCCAATGCATTCTTTTTAAATAAATAACCCATCCTTGTTCAACACCAATGAAATTTTAATACTAATATCACAACTGCATGCTCCAACTACCACCAATTATAAGATAGTCATTGGATGATGTAGTTCTAAATTCTCATTGTGACATCAAATTCTTCCTTATTCTCAGCCAGGAACAATAGTTGAAGCACAGTTTCTTAGGATGTGGGAAAACATTGATTTGCATGCAGGAGCTTCCTTGGTAATTGTGTATGAGAACATTATCTGTGGGAGTGAACTAAAACAAAAAAAAAAAAAAAAGAAAGAAAGAGAGAAAGAAAAGGTCAGTGTCTCATGCCTTTGCAACAGAGGACCCCAAGGATCTTACAGGAAACTCTGAACCTGGGAAGGCCCAGCGAGAATATCTCTGCCTTGCAGCAAGGAAACTAAACTTTCAGATGCCTGAAATTATGAGCCATTGAATAAGAACAAGGGTGCAATTCACTCTACACAGAAATTTCCTTGAGGATAGTGGACAAAATGTCCAGCTCATCCTCTTATAGTTAGTACTAATGCTGGCACATTATTGACACCTCATAAATGCTTGTCATGATTTTTGTTGTGAAGTTTCTGAGATCCACCATGCAGGAGGAGTTGGACAAAGCCAAGACCAAAGAATCAGTTTGGTCCTTGTTCTGCGCACCTAAACTGCGAATGAGAATCATCTGCCTGTCTTTTGTGAAGTAAGCTCCATTTGGATGATTGATCTTAAAATATTAACGATGCATTTTCATTTTTCTCCCAAAAAATTAGCAGCAGCATTACGGAGGGCTAATTCATAAATAAAGAAAAGCAAATGCTATCAAAGTGTATGTCTTTAAGTGCCACTTTTTAAGATAGCCTAATAATATCAAAAGACTTAGTGGGACCTGATTACAAATGCATAAAGTGCATTCTTCTAACATGTTTACCTAGATCAATTACAAAGCTATTAAACCATGTAACAATCACCCAGACAAACACCCTTTAGCATTCCCATATCATCTCTCATGTCTCTCCTTCCCCCAACTTAATTATTTTCCCAAAGTATCAACTATTTTTTCCTCTATTCTCATAGATTATGTTAGACTGTTCTTGACTTTTATACAAATTGAATCATGCTATACATACAATTTTTATATTTACCAATTTTGTTTTGTATAGCTGTAATTTGGTTTTTTGATAGAAGGTTATTTTTCTTTATAGGAATACCCTGATTTATTGATGCTTGGTTCTCTTCATGAATCATGGATTTTCCTACTAAGAGACTATTATGATTTGCTGGGTTTAAGGCATCTCTACATCTCTCTATAGTAACCTCCCAAACAATATTCCAAAGTGAGTGTATACACTCACTCTCATCAGCAAGTATAAGAGCTTTTCCATTCCATATTGAATCATATTAGTATAATCTCTATATAGCAATAGAAGGCACTAGTATGGGACAATATTCATTACTGTCATGAGTTACTTTACATTAGCTATTTCAGGGGTCATAGATGTTAGCACACTGTGATATAAATTAGCGTCTTCCTAAGGACTAATTAAGAAGATTTTCCTATCTTGACTGGACTTCATCCATTTTTACTAGATTGTTACTTTATTTATGTCTTTTTAAGATATATATGATAACTATCTTTTCTTAGTTTGTGGATTATCTTTCCACTTCCTAATGGTGTGTTTTGATGAACTAAATTTCTCAATTCTCATGAAATGTATCAATCAAATTTTTCTTTTGTGACTAGTACTTTTGGTATCCTGTTTCAGAAATCTTTCCTGCCCCATGTTTATAAAGATACTTTCCTGTTTGCTTCTCAACCCTTTGTTCATCTATAATATTTTCCAGATAAATAGTCAATTCACTTACCATAACTTAGTGAAAAGGCTACCGTTTGCCTATTCATTTTAAAAGTCAGTTTAACCGGGCATCTATGTATATAGTTTCTGGACTCTCTATTTTTTTTGAATTATGTCTACCTTAAGTATTTGCGCTTGTTTACAAGCAAATCTATTTAGGCTTGAATTTTATTTGGAAAAATTATTAATTAAATGTTCAATGCCTATACTAGACAAAGGACTAGTAAGAGTTTCCACTATTATTTGTTTTTTTAAGTTTATTTTGTAAGAAATTTCTTATTCTGGCTCAGCACCTGTGGCTCAAGTGGCTAAGGCACCAGCCACATACACCTGAGCTGGCAGGTTCGAATCCAGCCTGGCCCACCAAACAACAATGATGGCTGCAACCAAAAAAAAAAGGAAATTTCTTATTCCAAAATGTCAAATGATATTGGCATAAAATTGTTCACAATATTGTCTTTATATCCAATAGGTAATTGTGAAATCTAAAGCAGTTTCTCTTTCTTAATCTCGATGTGACAACTAATGTTTGCATATTTTTAAGGATCCATCTTGCTAGAAGTTTCTGAAGCTTAATAATCTTTTCAAAGAAATGCCTTTATATGCACTGTTGTATGCTTTGTATTTCATTGATTTCTGGACTTTATTCTATCTTTTGCTTCAGTTTACCTGAGTTTTAGTGTGCATGGGGGTGTATGTTATGTATCTGTTATTTTCCTTTTTCATTTATTTATTTTTTTATTGTTGGGGATTTATTGTGGGTACCCAGAACCAGATTACATTGATTGCTTTTGTTAGAGAAGGACCATCTTATAATTGTGTCCTGCCAGAGATTTTCTTTTATGTTTCTGGTTAATCTGACCAGGTTTATTATTTTATTTCTTTAAGAAGCAACGTTTTGTTTTATTAATTTTCTGAATGATTTTTTACATTCAATTACTTAATTTTCTTTTTCCTTTTATTTTTTTATTAAGTCATTTGCATATAGATCATGAATACATTTATGCCATTATGGGATTCAATGTGTTAACTATTTATACAAATTGGAGCGCTTACATCCTATTTCACCTTTACCTCATCCACCCAACTACAGCGCTAAGACATTTGTGTTCTATACCTGATAGATCCATCTTGTACTTGCAATATGCTCCATAGATGTGGTCCTCCTACTAACCCTCCCGCTATCAACCCACCTCTCTCCCTTCCCCTCTCCTCCCCCTTCCATTCTTCATCCTAGGCTATAGCTGTTAATTTTCATTATTATTTTCTGCTGCCATGCTTAGGTTGCTCTTCTTTTTCCATTTCTTTAAGGCAATTCATTAGATTGTTGATGTGCTCTCTTTCTGTTTTTCATATGCAGTCATTGAATGCAATAAATATTTCCTCTTTAGATTGCTTTTGTAGTGTCCCACAGGTTTTTGTAGATTGTGTCTTCATTGTTGTTATGTTAAAGGAAGTTAATGATTTCCTCTTTTATCTCTTCCTTGACCCAACTCTCATTCAGCATAAATTGTTTAGTTTCCATGCCTTTGTGTGGAGAAGAAAATTTTGTTGGAGTTGAGTTCCACCTTTATTGTCTTGTCTGAGAAGATACAAGGTTTCATTTCATTTCTTTTAGTTTTGTTGAGATTTGATTTGTGTCATAGGACATGACCTATTTTGCAGTGTATTCCATGGGCTGATAAGAAGAACATAAATTAATTAGCTTTGAGATGTTGTGTTCTGTATATGTCTAGTAAGCCCGATTGCTCTAGGGTCTTATTTAAGTCACTTGTATCTTCGTTTAATTTCTGTTTACAGGATCTGTCCTATTCTGTCAAAGGAGTTATGGTGACACCCTGGATATTATGGTATTATGGGATATTATATTTTTCAGATCAGTTAAAGTCTTTTTCATAAATCTGGAACTATTTAAGTTAATTGCATAAATATTTACAATTGAAATGTCCTCTTGTATTTTTTTCCTTAACCAGTATTTAGTGGAAATTTTTGTATTTCTTAACTTTAGTGCTTTAAATCCACTTGTGTCTGAAAGTAAGATTGAGACCTCTACTTTCTTCTGATTTCCATTTGCCTGAGTTATTGTTTTCTAACCCTTCACCTTGAGTCTTGTTTTGTCCTTCAAGGTTATATGTGTTTCCTGGAGACAGCATATAGATGGTATTTTTTCATCCAGTCAGCCAGCCAGTGTGTGCCTTTTCAATGGGAAATTCAAACCATTAACATTTATCAAGAGGGTTGAAAAGTGTGATGGAGTTCTATTCATCTTATTTTGTGAATGTCCATTGCTTACTTTTATCCTTTGGGCCACTGTGGAAGCTAGGTTTTGTCCTTTAGTCTCTGGGTGTTTACCCTGCTGGTGGTCCATTGTGATGGTCAGTGTTGAGAATAAATCTAAGTATTTCCTGTAGAGCTGGCCTTGATGCGGCTAATTTCCTCAATGTTTGCATATTAGTAAATGATTTGATTTCTTCATCAATTTTTTGGAGGGTGTACCAAATTTCTTTATTTGAAGGAATGGTAAAAATGAAAGAACTTAAATGAGTGTTTTGGTACAACTTATAGAAAAGGTAAAGGAAACCCCAACATACATGCACTGCCTTGGTGACCATGGAAGTCACCCTGTGACTATGGGGAAGTTAGCCTAAGGCTTAGCTCTCATTATCACTGCCTCCCAGGGTGTGCTTGTCAAAGAAATACTCTGCCCTGCCAGATTCAGGGGCTCCCATCTTGCACAGGTTGGTTATGTGGTCACCCAGTTCTTTGGTGGATTTCACTTGCTCATTCAGGTAATGTGTCTCAATGAAGTCACACAAGTGGGGGTCATTTTTGTCAGTGGCCAGTTTGTGCAGTTCCAGTAGTGACTGATTCACACTTTTTTCCAAGTGTAACGCACACTCCATTGCATTCAACCCACTCTCCCGGTCATCACAGTCTAGTTTTTTGATATCCTAAAGGAAGATTCGGCTACCTTGTTGATTCTTCAGCTTCATCAATTTCTCAGCATGTTCCCTCTCCTCATGAGATTGGTGAAGAAAGTATTTGGCAAAATTCTTCAAAGCCACATCATCGTGGTCAAAGTAGTAAGACATGGACAGGTAGACATAGGAAGCATAGAGCTCCAGGTTGATCTGGCAGTTGATGGTGGCCTCCAAGTCCTGGTGCTAGTTCTGGTGCACTTGCAAGGGGGACACAGTCATCATGGTGGTGGCTGAGGAAAGGCAGTGGCTGTGCAGTGCTGGAATGGTGGCATTGGCCTTGGGATGGTTGGTCTGAGGGTGCAGTGAGGAGGTGTCAGGGTGCTGGCTGTGAGTGGCTAGCTGGGATGGGGGACTAACGCCAGGTTCAATCCAAGCACTATTGAAGTGGGAAACCACGGTGACTCTCAGCAAAGAACATCTCTCTTCATCAATTTTGAAGCTTCCTTTAGTAGTATACAGAATTCTGGGCTGAAAATTGTTTTGTTTACCAGGGTTAAAGGTAGATGACCATCCTCTTCTGGCTTTGAATGTTTCAGTTGAAAAGTCCACTGTCACCCTGGTGGATCTGCCCCTATAAGTCAGTTGACAATTACTCCTGGCTACTTACAGAATTTTCTTTTTTATCTTGACTTTGTAGAGGTTCTTTACAATGTGTCTTAGAGATGCTTTGTTTGTGTTGAAATGACTGGAGATTCAATATCCCTCTATAAACAGTGTTTTGCAATCTTTAGTGATACTCAGGAAATTTTAATTAATGACATCCTCCAGTAGGGCTTCCATTACTTTGGGATGTTCTTCTTCCTCTTCAGGGGCGCCTATAATTCATATGTTTGAATGCTTTGTGAAGACCCATAATTCTCTGAGCAACTGTTCTGCTTTCTCTTTTTTCTTCTCTGCCTCTTTAACTGCCTAAGTTAGCTCAAAAGTTTTATCCTGTGGTTCTGAGATCCTCCATGGCCAAATCTGTTATTGGCAGTTTCTACTGAATCTTTAAGTTTTCTGATCAATTCTTTCAATTCCGTAAGCTCTGCTATATCCTTTTTATATTCTTCATGTCTCTTATCTAGTTTTTGGTTCAGTTTTGGAATTTTCTTTTGATTATTTTCTACTCTTTCATAAATTCCTTTCATTGCCTTCTGCCATAATATTTTTAACTCCCTTTCTGTAATTTCCATTATTTCTTTATGGGTGGAATCCTCTGTGGTAGCTACCTCATGATTCCTTGTGGGTGTTGGTCTATTCTGGTTTATCATGTTGCCAGAATTTTTCTGTTGGTGTCTCCTCATGTGTGTTTTCTTCTTCTTCACTTCCTTCCCCTACTTTTCCCTTTAGCTTTAAATTACCTTGTCTTTGAGCTTAGGTTTTGAAACTATCCTTTTGATATATGGCCAAAAGGAAAAGAAGAGTAAGAGTGCAATGGGAGAAAAGAAAGAAAAGGAAAAAGGGGGGATATGGTGAAAGGAAAGTATTTTTTAAAATTAGAGAGGAAGGACCGAAAGAGAAAAAGAGAGGAACAAGAGAAAAGGTGGTGTCTGGCAGGGTGCTTGATATAAGCGCACAACTCTAGGACTTTGCGGGGCAAGGCTGGGTGGGTCTCTCAAGGTCAGGAGCTCCTAACCAGCCCGGGCAAAAACAAGACCCCACCTCCACCAAATATAGAAAAAATGTATACTATGTTGCAGTGAGGATGTACCAATACCATCTTTCCGAATGCCAAAGCTAGAAGGATACCATAGATCATGAGCTGAATGCCTTCTTGAGCCAGACCAATGCTGTGTCCCCCAGCCAGACTAATGCCATGACCCTCTAGCTCTCAGAGAAAATGAAAAAATAATAAAAATAAAGAAAATGTAAAATGTAATTATATAAAATGAAGAAAAAAGATGATATCTTAGTTGTTATATCAGGACTTTATGTGGGAAAGGTGAGAAAAGTCGAAAATTTCTACCAAAAGAGAGAAAAAAAGGAGAGAATTTTTTTAAGAAGACAAAATCAAAGGGACTGAAAAACCATAACAAGACTGGAAGAGCCCTTGCTATTGAAGAAAATAAAAATGAAAAAAATAAAAATACAACCCAACCAAAGAAAACAAAACAAAAAACAGGAACAACAAAAAATAAGAAAAAACTAAGGAAAAACATGCTGGTTTTGCTGTATAAGATAGAGGCCAGAAGCCACCATCTGGTTGCTGAGGAGACCTAGCCCTATCTTCCTGACTTTTTTCCCTCAATCTGGGCCTAGTTGCTTTGCCAGCATTCAGTCCCCCACAGAATTGGGGTCCTGAAGTTCTCACCTAATTTCTGAGGAGGCATGTCTTGACCTTCCATACAGTGCACCCTAACAAGAAAATTAATTTCCTGGTAGTGCATGGTCCATTCACCTCACCCCAAAGATAGCTGTCTGAGCTCAATGGGTGCCCCAGAGCCAGCTGTGCACTAGGACCCTGTAAACAATTCCTTCCTGACAGCCTTCCCACAATGGCAGTACCTACTATTAGCCAAACCAATAGGAGTTCCACCCTACCTGGTATTCAATTCCAGCCACCAGAAGCTATTCAAGTGTACTCACTCCAGTGAGCAGCCCAGTCCTAAAACAAAAAACTGCGAGACAGCCCTTTTCTGTCTTCAGTCCTCCATGGAAGGGCTGGCTGGCTGGCCTTTGCCCCTGCCCAGGCACTTGCTTTCTCTGCTGGTCTTCCTCAGCTCCTGACCTCCTTGTAGGCTCCTGGAGTCTCCTTCTGCTTCACTGTGCTCCCAGAGAGATGTTTCTGGGCACAGTCCCTCAGCCAGAGGTGGCGAAGTTCTTCTTTCCCCTGTCCCACTAAGAGTGGCTGATAAGGAGATGTCTCTAGTCTGTCATCTTGCTCCAATTTCCCATATTTAAGTTTTAATCCATCTTGAATTAACTTTTGTGAACAGTGAGAGATAGCATCCTGTTCCATTGTTCCCCATGTGGCTATCAAATTTTCTTACCGCATTTATTGAATGGGGCTTCATTGCCCCAATATGCATTGTTTTCTGCTTTGTTCATGTTGACTTGGTTCTAAGGGGATGGTTTTATATCTGGGTTCTCTGTTCTGTCTCATTGTTCTATGTTTCTACTTTTGTACCAGTAGATGGTATTTTGATTACTATACACTTGTAGTTTAGTTGAAGTCTGGTAAGGTGATTCCTATAGATTTACTCTATTTGCTTAAAAATGCTTTGGGTATTCAGGCTCTTTTTTGGTTTTAAACAGAGTGTAGAAATAAATTTTTCCATATCTTTTAAATCTTATTGAATGTGTCTTTACTCACCTTTATGGTGACTTAATACCTAAGTCAGGCTCTTTTTTGGTTTTAAACAGAGTGTAGAAATAAATTTTTCCATATCTTTTAAATCTTATTGAATGTGTCTTTACTCCTTTTATTCACTTCAGTTTGGCAACCAGTCTGCCTTTCTATGGCCTGATACTCAACTTGCAGCACTTGGGGGGGAACGTCTACGTGTTCCAAGTTCTCTTTGGAGTTGTCACACTCACAGGCATATTTGTTGCCTTTTGGACAACAACTCATACACCTCGTCGACTAAGCCAGATGTCATTCATGTTCTTGGTAGGACTGTCCATTCTGGTCAACACCTCTTTGGACCAAGGTAAGAGAGACAGGGGTTTGGGGAAGGAGTGTGATTTCCTCCATTTCTCAGGGATTACATTGGTCTTATTGCCAGGTGCCAAAAGAATGGCAATATGGGCTCCATGCCTGTGGTTCAAGTGGCTAAGATACCAGCCACATGCACCTGAGCTGGCAGGTTCAAATCCAGCCTGGCCTGCCAAACAACAATGATGGCTGCAACCAAAAAATAGCCAGGCATTGTGGCAGTAGTCCCAGCTACTTTGGAGGCAGAGGCAGGAGAATCGTTTGAGCCCAGGAGTTGGAGGTTGCTGTGAGCTGTGATGCCACAGCACCGTACCCAGGGTGATATCTTGAGGCTCTGTCAAAAAAAAAAAAAATGAATGAATGACAATGCCATTGGAAGCCAAAAGGTTCCCTGAAGTTAACATGAGGGCATGGAATTGATTCTAACAAGTTGCTGTCAGGATGTGGGCTCTTACTGAACCTGAACCAACAAAAGCCTGAGGTGGTTCACACAGAATTAACTTCATCCAAGATGAATCTAGACATCAGCTCCAATTATGCCTGACAATTTCATTACAAGAATAAAAACCACATACTTTTCAGATACTTAGCATTTTACCAATAACATGGAGGATCTAGGTACCATGATTGGTTCCCAGAATGGAAACAAGATAATTTCACCTCCTCTGTCTTTGGACTTTTTGCAGTTTTTAAGGTTTCCTTACCTTGTCCACTCCTCATTCCTGTATTCACTTTTGACTTAGGTATTAAGTCACCATAAAGGTAATACTTTTTTTAGGAGAGGATTCTTGACTTCTGTGAAACAAAAATCACTTGCCCTCAAGCAGAAAAGAAGTGTACAGTAGGAACCAGGGAAGAGTTTCATCTTAATCTGTCTCTTAATCTATTTTATAGTATGTCCCTAAATAAGAATCAGACTAAGTAACTGATATGGCCTCCCCTAGATCTGTTTTCCCAAATTAATAGAATGTCCTTATTCAAGAATAATTTAAACTTCAGCAGTCACCTATTTTATTCCAAATAGGAAAACTAATGTTAGGTGTATAATCCTGACTTACTACTCTAGAATTTGTCTCTTCACCCAGCCCACTACCAAATCAGTGCCATCCTTTTTTATTATAATGTGCAATACCTTCCATGTCCTATGTCATAATTTGTTCCTACATGTTCCTCATGAACTTTCCCATTATAATCCACATTTAGCTCTATACCCTACTGAAAGTACAGAGAAAGTATTACAAAGAATGAATAAAACAAATACTTCCTGACTCATACTTCCAGCTTTACTGGAAATTCTCAAATATGCACAGAGAGCTGAAGTAACTGATTTAGTTCTGCTTTTTTAAATTTCTTATTAGTATGAGGGTACAAATTTTTAGATTATATTGTTCTCATTTCCAAGGTAAAGTTTATGTTGTAGTTGAGCCCTTCACCCAGGAGATGTGCTGTACACCCTCACCTTGTGCACATTAGGTGAGATCCCACTAATTGCCCTTCCTCCTCCTGCCAATTACCCACTCCCCTCTCCTTGGCAGGACTATACTTGTGCTTTATCCTTTGTGCAGGTATGTAATTCTTTACATATTTCTTTTAATTAATATTGAATACGTTGGATTTTTTTCTATCCTTGAGATACTTTGCTAAGAAGAATTTATTTCAATTGGCTCTTCTAATTCAATGATTAACCCCTATAATTCTACAGTCTTCAGTTCTTAGTTTATCCACTATTCCCTAATCTCAGCATGCTGGAGTTTACCTTCCACATATTTCACACTTGCAAAGTTCTGAAACAGAATTTTCCTACAAGGATTTAGGGTTTATAGATTTCTTCGGCCATCATCTTCTGACTGTGACCGTCTCCTTCTCTCTAGAAATGCAGATTCTGCGTGTGGCTCTGGCAACATTGGGAGCTGGTGTTCTTTCTGCTGCTGCTTCCAGCCAAGCAGTCTACCAATCTGAGCTCATCCCCACCATATTCAGGTGCACGAGCTACAGGCAATCTGTCTTATTTTAAAACAGGACTTTCTGAACTCTTTAACACTTACTGTAATAAAAAAAAAAAACCTGATACTGTTTTAAATCAGAAAATCATTATATGCTCCAGTCCTTTAATGTATCATCTCCTTTAATCTTAACAACCACTGGATTGGTGGTGCTACTTCAATAATGATGAAGCAGGTTTAGAGTAGTTACAGACATAGTATTATCAAATCATTGAGATCAATATAGTTAAATGTTACAACTAAGAGCTTGTTCTTACAGCCCGTGTGTTTAATAAGTGTGTTATATTTTCTCCCATACTGACTAAAGTTGATAAATAAGAATTTATGTGTACAGATGTATAGAGGATTTTTTTTGTCTTTTATTTTCAATCTAAGGAGCACAATTAGAGGAATCACTACAATATTCCATATGATTGGGGCAGCACTAGCTCCTACATTGATGACCCTAACAAATTACTCTCCCCACCTGCCCTGGATTACCTATGGAGTTTTCCCCATCCTTGCTGGCCTCGTTGTCCTCCTCCTCCCAGAAACCAGAAACCTGCCTCTTCCTAACACCATCCAGGATGTGGAAAATGAGTGAGTAAATCCTCCACCTGTTACCTGAGTGGGGAGTGGCCGTGTGCTATAGCTCTGTGATGATGAGCATCAGTCACCATTGGGGGCGCTCTGTCCTTCACATAGGCTGAGACCTGGCTATTTTGTATTTGTCCCCATGGCCTTTAGTCAGTGGCAGCCTTACTCCTAGCCACATGGTGGCAAAGTCCCCTTGAGGCTCCCTAAATCACACAGACCTCCTCACACTATCAGCTTTAGTGGTGAAAAGGCCTAAGTTAGATCTATTATGAATGGCACATACTCTCTGCCTCTACGGGAAACACATAATCCTGTCGTTCTTTCATAAATCAGCCAGGACTCAAATGCTTCATTCCCATCCCCTGATTTTATCACCCAGCTGCCCAATGGTGCTGGATATATTGTGGGGAAGGGAATGAGATTGCCTCATAGATACCTAACTGATTATTGCTGCAGTTAAGAAAGTAATGTGGGACTAGAGTATACAGAAAGATCTTTGCAAAAATAACAAGGTATCTAGAGGGAGAGCATCTTGTTAGGCTACTTGGGAGATCTAGTCAAATTTGCTACCATAGGCAATAGAAATTTTGACAAAAGAGCAATTAAGAAAAAAAGAAAACAATTACAAATGAGGAATAATAAGAAAATAGTCTTAGGAATTTCATTTGATCCTTTGATTTTCCAAAAATGTCACTGGTCAAAAGTCTAGAGAGACAAATTAGAGCTGCTATCCCAGGTGTGCCCAGGTATCAGAGCCTTTTCCAGCAGAATAGTGTCAAAATCCAGAGGGTTTTGGGTTACAAAGCTGGTGGGGAGGCTCAGCTTGAGGTGTGTAGCATGTATACATTTATTCTATACCTTTTTCCTTTTTTCTCTCCCTCTCTCTCTCTCTCTCTCTTTTTTTGGGGGGGGGATATCTACTTTTTAACAGAAAAGGAAAAAGAAAGCTTCCAAATTCATCTATATATTAATAAATGCCAAGATGATTTATGAAAAAGGAGCATCATGGAGTGATGATGGCCCTGACTCATATATGGTGAAACAGATGCTGGACTCTGTCATAAAACTGCAATCAACTTAACAGTTACAACCCATGCAACCTCCAGACATAAACATTCCAGAAACCCAACCAAGAATGTATAAGCACTGCTTTATCAAATTTTTGGCACCCAGAATCACTTATATATTGAAAGATTATGTAATTATTATTGTTATTACCTCTTGAAAACAGAATCAACAATTTATGAGAATGGGTTCCTTTTCATGACAAAATTATATATCTTTTTCTTTGTACCCATATTCTTTCTGGATTCATATTTTAAAATAAAATGAATTATTTAAAGATACTACAAATATAAAATATAAAAGGACAATTGGCATGTCAATTGATTTCAACTTGTATGCATAGGTGTGTGTGTGCATATTTAATACATAATATTCAGATAAAATACACTTCAATGTGAAAGTAGGCAAGACCACATGTTTTTCAGGGGTGAAAGTCACATAAATAATAAATATGGCAGGAAATGAAAAGATCTTCATATTTAATGGTGATAAAAGAAATATATACTAAAGTGAAATACCAATTTCCATTTTCCAGAGCAACAATGATTTTAAAATGTCCCGTTCATTCATAGTAAGTCAACAAAGCAGTAGCATAGATATCCATACAATACCAATAAAGCATGGTATAAAGCTACATAAAATCAGTGTGTAATATTTATCAAAAGTTTCGGCTTTTCATTCACTAAATACAGAGCTTGTCAACTTGCCATACTAGTTTGTATCATCTACCAATAGAGCTTCCTTTCCAATCCATATTCTACCCTTTTTTTAACTTTCCCTTATTGTATTGATGACAAAGACAAGAACAATGTAGAAATGGTGGGAAAAAAATCCTTGTCTTACTTCTGAACTTTAGAGGGAAAAGCATTCAGTATTTCAGTATTAATTATGATAGAATCTTTGGGTGTTATATAGATTCCCTTCATCAGTTTGAAAAGGGCTTTTTTATTTCTAAAATGCCCAAAGTTTTGTTAAGGACAGATATAATTTATCAGATCTATAAAATGAGATTTTTCTTTTTAAACTCATAGCCTATGAAATTCTAGTGATTAATTTTAAAATGTTTAAGCATTATTTAATCACACAATACTGTCAATTTGGTCATGGTGTATTATTTTTGTGCAATGTTGGGTAGATTTCTGCCTTAGTCAGTTGTGACCACTATAATAGAATGCACCAGACTAAGTGGCTTACACAACAAAATATTTCTTTCTCACAATATTGGAAACTGTAAGGCAAAAAAAAAAAAAAAATCAACCCACTGGCACATCTGATGTTTCATGATGATGCTTTCTAGGGTTACAGACAGATGTTTTATCCTTGTATCCTCAATGGATAGCAGAGGAGACAGAGGAAACAAGCTCTTCTGTCTCTTTTTCTAAGGGCACTAATCCCATATGTGATGATGAGTCCTTGTGATCTAATTCTCTCAAAGGCCCCACCACTTCATGGTATCACAGTTAGGATTAGGGTTTCAACTTATGAATTTGGGGAATACATATTCAGTCCATAAAACTTTTCTAAAATGATATTAACATATTTTTAATCCATATATGCACGAGAGCTATTTGGTCTAGGGTATCCTTTTCTTGCAATATTTTCATATCTTTTTTTCATGTTATTTTTTATTTATTCTTTTTTTTTATTAAATGATAGCTGTATACATTAATGCAAACATGGGGTACAGTGTAGAGTTTTCATATACATTTTGAAATACTTTCATCAAGATGGTTCACATAAATTTCATGTCATTTGCATAGTCATTGTGTCAAAACATCTACATTCTAGTTCTAGAAAAGTTCACTTGTACCCTTGTTAGACAGAAATATAGGTGATCATGTTATTTTTTTTTAACAGAGTAATTCTGGCATCAAAGAATTAGGTCCAAAGAACTTTCCACCCTGAAGGTAAAAAAGTAATTCTGTAAGATTGAAAGGGATTCTTCTTTGAATATTTTCTAGAATTCACCATTGAATCTCTTTGGCCCTGTATTTTATTGTGTGATTTTGTTTTTGTTTGTTGTTTTCATTTTGTCTTTTTTAACACTTTAGTACAAAGTTTATTTCTGTAGTAGAGAGAGATAAGGGTACTTATTTATGTCTTCCTAGTGATTTTTCTCCTTCTTAAGGGTCACGTATTCCTGCTCATCCAAAGATTAGCCATGGTAAAATTTTAACTAATTTTTGAGCTCAGAGGCAAAAGTGAAGTCTTTATGAATGTAAAGAATCATTCTGTGAGCAGAAAATGACTTTGGAAATAAGCTTCTGCTGTGGACTTGGTAATGTTTCTTTCTGAGTCCACATAAAATTGTAAGGTAAAACACCACTTGCAAGTGAATCTTACACACTCTAAAGTCACTCCAGTGACAGCTAACTTTAATCTTGTTAGAATGGTGATTACCAAAAAGTCAAAAAATAATAGATGTGGCAGGGATGCAGAGATAAAGGAGCACTTGTACACTATTGATGGGACTGTAAACTATTAAAATCTCTATGCAAGGCAGCATGGAGATTCCAGAAAGAAATAATGTAGTCTTACCATTTAAACCAGCAATCTTACTGGTGAGTACCTACCCAAAGGAAAAGAGGTCATTTCACAGAAAAGACATCTGTGCTCAAATGGTTATTGCAGCACATTTCATAATTGCAAAGATCAGCCTATTGACCCATAATTTCATGAGTAAATAAAGAAAAGATATATCTATATATTGTGGGATACTATATATACATATATAAACTATGTGTGTGTCTCTGTGTGTGCGTGTATATAATGGAATACTACTCAGCCTTAAATAGGAATGTGCATTGTAGCAACTTGACTGGAACTGGAGACCATTATCTTTAGTGACATGTCTCAGGAATGGAGAAGTAAACACCACATGTACTCACTAAGAATTCAGAGCTAAACGATTGCATACATGGTCACAAAGAGATGTAAAGTATATTGGAAGCAAAGAAGGGGAAAAGGTAGAAAATGATGAGGGGTAAAAACATAGCTTTGGGGTATATGAACACTATTTCTGATGATGGGGATACTAAAAGCTTCTAGTTAAGAATTATACAAAGTTGGGCAGTGCTTGTGGCTCAAAAGAGTGGGGCGCCAGCCCCATATGCCTGAGGTGGCGGGTTCAAACCCAGCCCCAACCAAAAACTGCAATAAAAAAAAAAAAGAATTATACAAAGTTATCCATATAACAAAAACTTTCATGCCCCTTTAATAATATTTTGAAATTTGAGAAAAACTGAGGAGTACAAATGAATTTTCTTAAGTTATGGGATTGGTCTGCATTTGATAGGATTGCAGATTACATCAGTACATAAATTTATACAAATGCATTTAATTTTGTACTTAAGATCACTATATTTGAATTTGTGTAAATGTTACCTAAAATAAAGCAACCATTTAAAAAATCAATATATACCTGGAACTGTATATATTACGGACATCTAAGAAATAGTTACTCATGGAAGGGCCTTCCTTGCTCAGTGCAGTCCAAAGCCCTCAGAGCCAGGAAGACCAAGGTGTTATACTCAATCTGAGGCTGAAAGCCTAAGAATCAAGGGATCTGGTGGTATTAATTTTGAGTTTTAACATTCAAAGACTCAGGATTTCTGATGTCCATGGCTGGAGAAGAAAATCGTATCCCAATTTCTGGAGAGACAAACTAACCCTTTCTCTTTTTCAGTTCTAACAGGCCCCAGCTGACTAGAAGGTCCTCACCCACCCTAGGAGGGTAAACTTCCCACCTAGACATTTCAGATTCACACATTTGTCTGTTTTGCACAAGCCCTCACCTAGATTTTCTTTAATCTGCTGAAGTTTCCAGATTCCCTTGCCAGTAGAATGTGGTTAGATTCAAGCAATAGGAAGGAAATGATGGAAATTGGGGAACAAATAGTGGGGAGAAGTCCCCACTGCTTCAGTCAGCACCTTCCTCAGTGACAGTGACTCCTTTGCTGTTCCAACTCCTGTCATCTAGTCCATTCCTTCTAGATTCTTCTGGGTGCCCCTGAAGCTGAGCACAGGTAGCACCAAGTCCTAGATTTATTCTTCAGTTCCCATGGTAACACCTTCTTGCTATTGCTGGCGTCTTATTCCTTGTTTGAATCTATGTAACTTAGTTCCCCATATTAAATTCTCTCTGTTGAATACAAAGCACTGAGTAGCTTTTGTCTTTACACAACAATATATTAGACTGTCTACTATTTCATTATTCAATGTTCCACTATTATTGACTTGGTACTTAACATGTTCTAGGACTCTTCAAGATCATGAGGAAGCATATGAACAAAGAGGACTGTGTTATTTTACTAGACTTGTATTTATGTAGTGAAGAAATTGAAAATTAGTCAGTATGGCTGATGGTGCTAAGTAGTGTGCCAACAAATAAGAAAGATATAAAGATGATTCGTGGGACAGTGTGTGTAGATTAATATTTAAGGAGAATGCATAGGGGAAGACTCTCATATGTGGTATGAGAGTGGGTACTGCACTAGTCTGCAGAATAAATTCCAGAGGCTTTGTTTATTTGATGAGTGAATTGAAAAAACTAAGGGAGTTCGAGGCAAGCTTTTCATGGGTAAAGACAAGGCAGATTGCAATCAATTCCTCAGAGTCCTTTCCTGAAAGAGAATCTTTGAGGTTAGAAAGGAGTCTTCAGCTTCAGGTATTCCACAGGTGATAAACTTGAAATTCCAGAAAAAGAGACACTAGTCTACAGAATAAATTCCAGAGGTTTTGTTTATTTGTGTTTTTTTCTTTTTTATTAAACCATGTTCTCCAATTACTATCCATTATGTTCATTAGCTTCCAGTATTTGAAAATCCCATAGGTGCACAATTAATGCCATAGCCACAGTAAAGTAATGATGTATGTATTGCCCTTTTACTCCGTAATTTGCTCTTTTCTATTCTTCATCCACTACTTCATTGTCTCTAAAATCTTGTTTTAACAGTAGGCAAAAGTTAATTTCTACAGGGGTGACAGATCTTCCCCATGGCATCTACCTAGCAATGA